TATAATACAACATAGTATTTTAATAATGTGAAACTTTATTGCAGAAGAATTTCATTTTCATCAATAAAGAATTTACGTATATATACTCAATTTCTACAACGATTCACAAATTCAAACATCACGGAATTGAATACGATAAACAAACCTGATTCAACTATAAATGTATAAGTTTAGTTATATTTTAACTACTGAAAGATATGCGTGATATCAAAGTAATAGTTTTCAAAAAACGCTAAACAAAAAACAGGAATTTATCATGATAACTAATGATGTATGACTGTATATATTTTTGAGCAGCTGTCTTGAATCTGACGTGTTACAATAAAATATTACTGAACTACAGTTTGCATTAAAATTAGAAAGTAAAAAAGTATTATTGTTGTAACGTAATTGTAAGTTATTAGTGTATAAAGTAATGAGCGTATTTCAGCAACTTTCTTCAATCATGAAGAAATAACTTTTCAAATGAAGATAAGAAGTTTGAGACTCATGCATTTGAGAAGAATTCTTTTTTAATTTTGTTTGAATTGCAAATTACTTTTACTGATTAGTGGTAAATGCATTGAATGTGAATGTAGATTAGAATTTTTAGCATTTACTCGGAAAAGATACAGAATCCTTGTTTGATTCAGTGAAACCAGTGAATGAAGTGCAATATACCGATAGTGTTTTAAAAGAATCATCAATAGATAAGCAAGACATGGATATAATTGAGCTACAGGAAGGAGATTATCTACTGTGAATTCGATGAATATTACTCACCTTTAAGTTTACTCTTGTATTTGCCTGATAAAAGTATTTTTGCTGAAATGTGCCCGAAATTAAACCTAAATTTGTGTATGCAAATGAATAGACACTACTCAAAAAAACTATTATTATTTTCATGCAGTGCTACTGTTATTATCACTGCTATTCTTTAGTCAAACTTATTAGCATCCCAAATTGTAAAACTAATTTAAGCGCCATAATTTGTGTTTCAATCACAGTTTCAGGACGAAAAATTGTAATACAAAGTGATATATTTGAAAAATAAGAGTTGTTATTTACAACTAAGCTGATTGCTGCATACAGAATTTGTTAATTTATGGCATTTTTGAGGTGATCAATTGGATAATGAATGACCCGATGGATTTATATGGCTTATATCAGATTGCATTTGTATAAATCAAAACATAATAAGCATTCACTTTTATTGTTGTTTACATCTTATCTTAAATTGACAATATTAAGACTAATTTTGTTGACGGTGAAAGCAAGAAGTATTCCGTTAAACATTTGAATTGTGAATACCACACAAATCCACATCTAGATCTAGCTAAGCATGAACTTTTGTCTGATAAATCTTTTCGCTTTTTTTGCTAATCTGTGAGATTAAATAGATTAATTATATACTACATGGTAGTTGCTGCCAAGAGGTGAATAAAATGTTGGGCCCTTAACTAAGTAACTAACTCATATTTAATCATATAATCTTCGTCTAGCAATGGAAATGCGACCAACTGCTTAGTGCTTGAGGTGCATTCAAACTGAACAATGTAAGTTATCATTTACTCAAATTGTTATTCAATATTAGCTTATATTTAACAATTTAAAATCGGCTCAACTGTATAATTATAATATTATTACTTTTTATTATGACAAATCATTATTGCTTAGCGTAGAATCTTCATAACAACAGTGAACCATTATTATTATTATTATCATTATTATTATTATTATTAGTGATCAGAACAGAAACTAATAACATTTGATCACAATTTACGATCTATCATCTTACTGTGACATTTTGAAGATTCGAACCGAACTTTCTTTCTGGTCAAACCAACTTAAAATTGACCTAACAATCTCAAAATCTTTATTTCCAAAGCACTAATTTGTTTGACTTATTCAACGAAAAAATCTCATAATTATGATTTTAATTACATAAGTTTAAACAAATAACTATTGATGCCAAGAAATAATAATGTATGCAAAATAAGGTAAGTCTTGACTTAAAATTACTCAGAACTTATTAAATCAGGAAAGCAGTGGAATTGAAATCAAAGAAACAGTACAATTCTCTTCAATATTACTTTACGAAAAATCTATCAAAATTAATTCTGGTTAAAGTTCGTTTCTAACTATGCAAATATTTAACTGTACTTATTAAATTAACAACTGACTAATAACAAAGTATTTAAGAATTTAAATAATATTCTTCATATTGTAGTGTGTGTAACGGATTAATGATTCCGAAGATCGCAAAATGTAAATAAGCTTTCCGTAGAGATCATGTTCCAAATCATATAATTTTGTTTCACGAGCTGGAAAAATATATGATGTCATTGTTATTATTATTAAAAAATACATATTAATAAAAAAGTAATCATTTTTATGGTTAATATTCTTTCTTATTTTACTTCCCTCCATAAAGCTTCTATAGTGTAAATATTGAAATGAGACTAAACTTGCCAATAGTAATGCTAGAACAGAGCTGTATCAAACGAGCCGGATCACCGATTTCACGAAAAGTTAACTCAAACGGTTTTGTCATTAGTATATCACGCAGTTTAAAGCTCAACAAATAGATCATAGCAAAAGTCATTGCCAAAGACCTGAATGACATTTGACTTGAAAATAATCAAGCACATTCTCAACGTAGAATGAATGACAACTTGTATTATCAAAGCAGACTTTTGTCTAATTACTGACTGAATTCAAAACTCTTCATACAGAATTTAATTAATATCACTGACTCAGTGGATTCCACTGATCTTCTTTCCCAAATGACGTTGTTTAAATACTTTATATCAATAAAAACAGTTTTTAATTTGAAAAATCATATTATAAAATAATGAAGATAAGGTTTGAAAAGACTAATCTCAGCTTAATCCAGTTATTAAAATGTGCGTTAAAATTTTTTTATCGTAAGCACTTATTTGAAATTTTCTTAACATTAATTCAGAACAATACATTTCTAAAAATGAACCATTGCAAGATATAATAGCATAAATTATAAGAAGCAAAATAATCATACGGTGTAGATATATTTAGCATTCTTAAATATCTCGAAGAAACTTTGGAGATGAACAGTAAGAAGCGTGGTGCTTGTGCCCCTCCTATCACAGTACCATCATGATTAATACCGTATTGCTCAAGTAGAACAACATGTGGCATATAGGCTCCTTGTATGTGATTCGTGCAATCCGGTTTTACAATCAGTCTGCAATCAGACAGTCAAATATAACAAGTTTGATACTAATTAAACAGATATGATTCAGGGGCTAAAATTTAAATAATATAAAATTTTTCGAAATTCTCTAATTCTTTGGTAAACTTTCGATATGGAACGAAGTCATTTTAATATTTACTTTTTACATGTTTCAATATTTGCGAATTTATTTTATCCAAATTTAAGCACTGTAAGAAGTATTAGTTTTCAAGTAAACTAATACTTATATTTACAGAATTTCTCTTTAAATTGACTAAAAAACATTATTTTGTAAACATATGCGACAATTTTGTTATTATTTGACATTAATAAAAGGAAACGAGAATAAATAACCTTGTTACATATTTGAATGTGAAATTGAAATAGCTAAAACGATTGCTAAATCGTTTTTTAACGATGACTGGATTTTCGTAGATTAAACCACGATTGGGTACAGTAAGTAATGGTCGAACTATACCAGAAATGTCTACCTCAAAAATGTCTGAACAGTTGGTTGATTTAAGTACCTAAAAAATGAAATATTGTCAAGCTCATTTATTAAATTTCACCTTTTTTATTAATCGAATTCAGTTCAAATAAGTGTATTAGATAAAACATTATACAGTCAAAGTTATAAAACTGAGATTAATTATTCGAATAATTTATAAAAATATAAATACGAAAAAGCCATTGAATGTCTTGCTTTCGGTGCAACATTGAAAAAGAGAATAAGTTGATTCTTTACTTAAGCAGTAACTGTATGACATAGCATTTCAGTTACTGTACGGTAATATTTTTGAAAGTAAATAAATTAAGTGTGTAAACTTTTGAAAGATTCGTGAGTTCTTCTCGCTTCATCTCCATGTCCCATTCTCGAGCTATTTCTAATGGTGTTGAATCAGTTCTTTTCAATAAATTATCTAAACTGATAAAAAAATTTGCATCTATGTCATACTAATAAAGTATTCACAATTATCTTAGACTAGTGTAATCATACTCTAAACATACTGCAACATTTCTGCTAATATTATTGTAATTTGCAGTATTAGAAGTCAATAAGTTACAAGTTTTTGCTTTCAACCACTCAAAAGTTAAGATGAAAGTGGACACGATAATAGCGGTCAGTTGATGGTCAGTTTGCTAAATAATTACATAATTTTTTTTCTATAAAGTATTGATGAATACTTTTTTAGAAGAGAAAAATGCTGTTAGTATTAAAGTTCGAATAAAATGGGAGCAAAAGCTAATGAAAAAAAGCATATTGATAATAACAGTACTCACCTTTATGTTCATGAATGCGCATTCTTCGAAGGTAAATCCGAGACTTGAATTTCAATGCACCACTACTTTTGTCAATTAATTCAATCAGTTCTGCTTCCCATGCCGGATGAACATACTGAGCCATTCCTCGGGAGGGAATTCTTACCTGAATTGCTCTTAAAGTACTGATTTTGGCTTTCTGTTATTTAATGTAACGAAGTAATACTTGTTTTAAACATTTAGAAGCAAAAGATTGATAAGCTGCATAAAAATATTTGACTGATTGTAAGCAAGCTCAAACTTTGTCAGTCTTTTTTTCAATTATGTAGTATTTAGATTTGAAATTATTCATAATACTTTTAAAATAATATCAAAGATCAAAAAAGAAGAATACATCGAGAATAGTTTCAGCACCAAGGGATTGAATAAAATTTTGCGCATATATGTCAAATGCAAAATATTTAACCAGATGATTGTAATGTGTATTGCTGATACGTGGTAGATCTTCCAAATGATATTCATACAATATCTATAATTTTTTTTGTTACAATAAGCTAATAAGTAAACCATACTGTTCTTTCTATTAAAAGTAATCAAAGTTATCTGTATGAAATATCAATGTGCTTGAGTAAAATTTGTTGATAATTTAAGATTATTAGAATAAAGTACGTTTTGTTGTCTGTTGATAATTTAAGCTTTAATTTACAATTTATATTTAAAAATACTAAACTAAACTAATTGTTCTTTAATTCATGTTAATCAAGTAATATGCATTGATAAATAATTAACAACTTAATTCATGCTATATAAATATCCTAATAGCTAATTTCACTTCATAAAAAACAAGTACAGAAGAATGAAATTTGAATTCAATCACTCTAACTTTTATTCACATCTTTATAATTTTGTACAAACTTTCAATAAGTTTTCTCATTTTGACTAAATCTCAATCTAGTTTTCTCATTCTAACTACATATATAGCATACTTAAGATTATTAAAATAAAGTTGATAGTTACAAAATTATAAAAAATTTTGCAAAGTATAATCAAACAAACAAACTGGATGCTTCTCAAATCTAAGTGTGAATACCATATTAGCTGGAAGAAAAATTCCAACAAACATCTGCAATGATATATATATGAATTAATATATTTTTATATATTGAAACTTATTCTACATATTTGTTTGTGTTTTCACACAAACAAAAGTATTCCGAAAAGTAAAAAAATAAAAAGTTAAAATTTAGGAGGAAATATCGTGACCTTTATATGATTACGTGATTTAATTTTCAAAATAAATAACATTAAATTATAATTATTTCCAATTAATACTTGCAAAATGAGTTGTTTTACTTTTTATAGTATTTTTTTTGAGTGAAAAAATTAACCATACATTTTCGGATATAAATAAAATCAGCATAATGAGAAGCAAAAATATCACAACGAGTATTCCTCCACCAAAAAATATTTTTACTGTAACAGAGGTCAGTTCCGCACGTTTTCTGGGATAGAACTGAAAACTGCACACATGTAAATGAGGAGAATTATGCAAATAATATTGCTTACAGTTAGAAAATATCATCATTTTATTATAAAAATAAAGTATGAAATATTCTAGAAGTTATGCACTTGTATATAATTTAATATTTTCAATCTTGCGATGCATAATTGTGCTGAGGCAGATGTCAACTTTTCTACTATCAAAAACATTGTGCCTGATAATTTTTTATTAGCAAAAATCAAAAGTAAATAATATGCCTCAAAATCTCAATGATGCTTATTTTTCTCCAAAGACATGAACTTCGTTACAAATAAAAAAGGCCAGAGGTCAGCAAATACAAATAATAAATTTGGTAAAGAATTATGAGAAAATAAAATTAGTCAAAAAGTTGACGTACCGCTTCAAGTTTACGCATTCCTTTAATAAAATATAAATAGTAATTAATGGTCTGCAGAGTGTAGAAGTCGAACATAGTTAAAGTAGTTGTTGTGAACGTCCAGTCGAGAATCGCCGCTATTTCAAAAATGGGAACGGTATAAAAATATCTGAAACAAAAATTATTTTAATTAAGTACTGAAAAAAAAGTGCGACAATTAAGAATGATTAATTTTTTGATAAAATAGCCAGGTAAAATAGTAGTAATTGAATTGAATAAAAAAAGCGTAAAAACAGAGAGATGGCAAAAAAGTAAAAACAAAAATAACTGATAACTATATCATAACTATATCAGTTATTTGTTGATAATGTCGATAAATGGTAATAACGATTTTTGTAGAAAACTTTCATTAATTTTTATAACTATTATGTGATGGCGATATAATCTATTAAAAGTGTTGAATACTTAATTGTGATGCAAAGTAATATTTAACTGACCCAACATAGAAAATCCAGTTTATTGGATTAGCTTTCATCATTGCATGGCCAATTATTAATTTTGGATAGCCATCTCTAACTTGAAATGCGCTTACTAACATATGTATGCCACGTGCCATGTACCAAAGAAATAGGCCAACGGAAACACGTTGATTTCCATCACTATATCAATTACTTTAATCTCGATGAATAGTAATAACGAGTTTTGTAGAAAATTTTCATTAATTTTTATAACTATAATGATATAAAAGTTACAAGGAAAAAAGTACGAGAACTAGTGATGAATAAGTGCATAAACAGTTACCGAATGAATGATTTATGCAAGTAATATGACCTTTGACAGGTCATTA